GTGCACCCACGATGCCGCCTCTCTCCATTTCTCCCTCCCACGTGCGATTTGGTGTATTCGTGCCTTAATCTCTTCGGTTTCTACGTGTGTGTCCGTGGAGCATCCCTGTGTGTGAATCTGCGTGTATTTCTGTGTCCTGCGCCTTTCTAACTGTCTTAGATGCAGGAGAAGAACACGAGCTGTGTTCTACAGGTCAGCACCTGCCTCACCTGCCCCTGTTGCTGTGAATGCCCCCCTCCCCGAGGCCCCGAGGGTGGAAGGTCCCCACGTGGGCTTCTACCCGGTGATGAGCCCATCAGAAGGAAAACCTCCCCAGATATAGAAATCGGCATCCTCCGATGTCTTGTTCTTTCCTTTGCAATTTTTTTATCTTTCTCTGCACCCTGGACACATAATCTTTCTTTCCCGAGGAAAGCCGACGTTTGGAAGAGAGCATTCTAGTTAAACTGGCATGTGTTTGTGTCCATGTGTTTGTGTTTCTGTACCATTTACTGTTTGCCTCTATATGATTTCTGTCACTGTAAGCTCTGTGTAAGTCTGTGTGTAATTAGAAGCCAAGCGTATTGGGAGATGTGTCTGTGTCCAAGCAGACATACTGTTTTAAACTTTGGGTTGTAAATTTAGATTTATAGAGCAGATCATGAGTTTCACATTGAGCGGGTCATGTACATTTTTGTTTCCGCTCATATCATCATTGTATACCATCACCAATTCCACCCCCTTCCTGTTTCCAGTTCCCATTCCTCTTCCTTTCCGAGCCCCTTGGACTAAACCCTTTGGTCTTGAACAATTGATAATCCTACTGGCTATTCAACACAAGAGCTAGGGTGGGGGGTTGAGTTCAGTTCTAGACCTGAAGGGAGGTGACGGGCCACAGTCTTGGGAATCCACCATCTGTCTGACCAGCCTGGTCTCTTACAATTTTGTTGTTTGTTCCACATTTTTCTGCCACACAGTCCCTCTGTTGTGATCCTTTTCAAAGCAGTTGGTAGTGGTAGCTGGTCACCATCTAGTTCTCTGGTCTCAGAATTGTGGAAGCTGATGTTTGTGTGATCCATTGGTCCATTGGGCTAAATACTTTCACATGTCTTTCAGTTTTCATCACTCTTCTTTCCTTCAGTTGGGGTGAGACCAATAGTTACACCTTAGATGGCTGCTTAAGACCTTTCGAGACCCCATTCGCTGCCCACCAAAGTCGGATATGGAACATTTTCATGTTAACTATGTGTGTTAATTGACCTTGGTGTCCCCTAAGGCTCCAACCAAACCAACCTCACGGCCGTTGAATTGATTCTGGTTCCCAGTCACCCTACAGGACGGTGGAGAACGGCCTCTGTGTCTTCCCAGGCTGTCTATAACTGGTTGCTAGGTGCCATCAAGTTGGTTCTGACTCAGTGACCCTGTCTGTGTGCATCAGAGCAACTCATGATCCTGCATCATCCTCAAGTTCTCATGTTGGAGGCCGTGACTGCAACCACCGTGAGTCCATCTTGTCAGGGCCTCCCCGTTGCTTTACCAAACACGATCACCTTCTCCAAGACCGGTCTCTCCTGTCAGCATGTCCGAAGTATGTGAGATGGAGTCTCTCCGCCCTTGTCTCTAAGGAGCAGTCTGGCTGAACTTTTTTCAAGAAAAGTATTTAGGGTTGTAGAACGCTTATCGCCCGTCACCTGTGGAGCGGCTGATGATTTCAAACTTCTGACTTTGCAGTTAGCCGTCCAACTCATAACCCACGATGCCACACGCATATTTTCTATCTGTCACATATTTGGCTGTATTTTGTACAGTTCATCACGTCATTAAAGCTTTCAACAAGCATTTGTTGAGCACCAGGTATGTGCATAAACTAAACATGATCTCTTTCCTAGAGGAGTTTTCAGTCTATTTAGGGAACATGATTTAAAAGCCATGGAATCCACGATTAACCTATAGGGACAGCAAGTAGACTAAGGGGCTTGAGGGGAGAGGGTTACAGTGGTGATGGTGGGGAATAAAAGGGAGACGATGTATGTCAAGGAGTCCATGTAGAAAAATAACGCTTGGACTCTGATTATGGTAGCAATCGTACAATTCTACTTGACGTATTTGAAATATAGAGTGATACAGTATATGTATTCCCAACTCATAAAAAACAAAACATGTAATCAGGGATCAGCAAACTTATTCTTTCAAAGGTCAGATGGTAAATATTTTAGGCTTTGCCAGCTACACACTCCTTGTCACCACGTTCTGCTGGCTTGTTGCAGTGCACGAGCGGACAATAGGTGAGGGAGGGAACGTGAGTGTGCTCCGTGTAGGGGACTCTGAAATGAGAATTTCATAAACTGTTCATGCCTCGTGAAATGTTTTTGTTTCAACGATCTTCAAGGGTAAATCAAAAAGTGTTGCTACAAAACTATACAACATTTTATAACAAAAACATCAAAAGGTGCTGCTGTTTTGTTTAAAAAAAGCAAGCAGACATGTCTTCCATTGAGTTCTATACACTCCGAAGGTGGTGCTTCTTTCTGTCACCCTTCTCCCCAAAATGCTGTGCTCTTGTCTTGACACAATGTCAACCTGGCAGTTTTAGCATTCTCAAGGGACTTACATGTTCTCTGAATGCTCCTTCAGTTTTGACTTGAGAGCAACGAGAAGCTTGAGGGGGCAAGATGTGGGCATAGGGTGGGTGGGGAAGTTCCCCACTGAAATGCTCCGAGGACAGCCCTCCCCAGCCTGAGAAAGAGCAGAGGCACTGCTGTGATGGGAAAACATTCCAGGGGCACCTTTCCTGGCCTTTTCCTCCCCAATACAGTTTTCACTTTTCTTAAAACTGTTTCCTGATCAGCTTCCATCATAGTCTAATGTCTTTCAATAAAATTTCTTTGGAATTCCCCCCAATAGTCACCATCCCCTTCTGAGCAGCCCTCCCTCTCTGCCTTGAACCCACCCAGCAGGTACTCTTAGAAGCACCTATGTAGAGTAGACCTCTTTTTTTAAGGTGCCCTAAGGAAAAGCAGATACGTGCCTTATTAAGAAAATTTATCTGCAGCCAGCCACTGGTCACAGAAACCTGTTTAGACACATTGTGTCTGGAATAAACCCATGCGTGTGTGTGTGCTAACCCCCCGAGTAGCAATACTTTGCTCTACAGAAACAGGCTGATGGCTGGCTTAGGCCTGCAGGCGGTAGTTTGCTGTCCTCTGATCTAGTCTAACCCTCCTCTCAATCCACAAGAAATCATTAAAATACCACAGGAAAAGTAGTGGTGCTAGGGAACGGTCTGGTTCCGGCCCACATGCGACTGGAAGAGAGCTGAACCAGAAGCCGTGCTTGACCTGTGAAGGCTTAACCTCGGTACCACTGGGACAGACTGGAAGTGACGGCGTGGGGCTCGGCAGGGTAGTCTTTTGGACACGAGATGCTGTCGGCCCAGGCACAGAAACAGGGAGGCGCAAAGGACTGTTTAGGTGACAATGGGATGGAGAATTCCGGAGCACAGAGGTTGAAGCTATCGACAAAGGGCTAGATCAGCGGTTCACAGCCTGGGGGTTGCGATTTCTTTGGGGGGGGGGGGGTGTTGAATAACCCTTTCACAGGGGTCGCCCGATTCATAACAGTAGCAAAATGGCAGTGATGAAGTAGCAACGAAAATAATGTTATGGTTGGGGGGACACCACCACATGAGGAACTCTATGAAAGGGTGGAGGCATTAGGAAGGTTGAGAAGCACTGGACTAGATGCTAGGAATTTTGAATGCCAAACAAAGAACTGTGGCCGGTTCTGTCCGGATTGATTATATGTACTTCACCTGTGACTGCTTCTCAACAACAGTATGTATGTCTGTGCATGTGTGTCTTCATGTGTCTCACTGCATGTATTTTATAGGTGTGGAGGGTTTGTGTGATTGTGTGGCTTATGTCCCCCTAAGCAGCTCCCGTAAGTTTCCCAGATGCAGGGCAGGCGCATGGACTGGCCTAAAGGCCATCTTTCCCAGTTCTTGTGAACCCTCTTTCCACTGATGCCTCAGGGTGTATGGCCCAGAGAGACTGACTGATTGTGTGTCTCTGATGGGGTGGGGAAGGGCCACACAAGCAGAAGGGGGGTAGCTATTGCACTAAATGATTCAGGTGGACAGAGGCCAGGAAGATAGGAAAGAAGGGAGGGGAGGCAGAAGGAACGATCATAAGAAGGGAGGCTATTGGGATTTGGTGCCTGCTTGGATTCGGAGGGTAAGGGAGAAGACCGAACGTTGAATACCAGGCTTCAGTCTGGATACTGCTGCTCCCGTGGACCTTTTTGTGGGTGTAAAGTCTGTCTCATGTATTGGGAGGGCCACCGCTGACGATAAAAGCACGGAGGTGTTCCCATGTCCTTGTACACATGCGTGGCAGCCGTCTTGCATCGTCCTATTTGTTGGACTGTTGTGTGATGATGCAGACCTGAAGACACGGCATCAGGAGATGCCGAGGAGGCGAGAGCTCGTCCAAGAGGGACAGGAGAGCATAAAGTCCCTAACTATTCCTGAATCCACCCACTCGGCCAATCTCCTGCGCCCTTTGTAACCTCACACTACCGTGCCAGTTGTAACCCAATTCTGCTTCCACGGGGCTGCTGCTCAGTCAGTGCCCCAAACCGCATCGGATTCTCTGCAACAGCCGTTCCCTTCGTTCAAAGGGAATCCTCGAAGCTAACTCAACTCCCTCTATTCTCTCTCTCTTTTTTTTCAGTCAGCTGCCTTCCTCCTTGACCTTAGCTTATTCTCCAAATAGGCTGCAGTTGGGATGAGAGCTGTCAGCGAGGGATTAGCTTGGTTTTTGCAGTTTTGGACTTGATGTTGTGCCTGTCACTCTGCAGGGGTGTGGCTTTTGTCTGGCAGCATTCCAGAACTCCAGAGCCCAGACTGGGTGTTGTGAGAGGGCCTGACTGAGGTGGTTCTAGCCAGTCCGACAGAGCCGTTTGCTGAGTTAGTGGCACCTGGACCCAGCTGTGTCTTAACTGGCCATTTTCTTGAATTTTAGAGTGGATCATGACCCATGAAGAGCACCATGCAGCCAAGACCTTGGGGATCGGCAAAGCAATTGCTGTGTTAACCTCCGGTGGAGATGCCCAAGGTAAATAGGGTGGCGGGGGG